TTCCAAAATATTAAAAAAATAATAAACAAAATGAGGAACGCAGAAAAAATTCATATTGAAAAATTAATGGTTATGGAAATGTGTTGCTTTATTGATATGAAAATTACTTTACATGTTGTTGTTTGGTTTGTGAGCGGTTATATGATTATGCCGCATAAGCAAACGTACATAAGTACATACTTGCGTATAAGTAATATATTGATTAATATGTGAGCTCTTTTATGTATCTATTGACCCCACTTTAGCGCTACTCTTTGTACTACATACATATTCCTCTTTTGTTTTTGTTATGATTTTACTTTTGTGTTGCCTTTAGCGCGCTGACGACATAACAAATTTATTTTAACAACTGTGAAAAAATTAAAGCGGGTATATACTCGCTGCCAGATCTGCGCATATGAAAGTGCCGCAGAGAAGAATAAAATAAATAAAATAATAAAAGGCTAATGATAGTAAATTTCAAAAATTGCTTTTCAAATCATTTAGTGCACACGTACCGCTACAACGCTACTTATATTCATACATACTTACATATGTTTGTACATTTTTGCAAAATTTTTAATGAAATGGCAAAGTAGGTGCGCGTGTTCAACGGAATTTGCACAGTGGTCGCTAACGCTAACAGATTTCAAAGAAAATTATAACAGCATTACGGCAGCATTATAGATTTCTAAGGCAGCGCGAACAATACGAAAGTGCAGCGAAAAAGCAGAAAAATATATACCCAATCAAAAAATCAAAACAAATCTTAAATCGAGGAAATATTTTCTATTTTGAAAACAAAAATTTTAGCTTGCTCTACCTCACACACCAAATTCAAATTGCTTAATACTTATATCCATGTTTCATTTCTAATTAAATTTATTAAAATTTCATTTTAAGTGGCAACACCATACATTTTATTTTAGTTTCTCAGTTAGAAAAATTTCATTATGCTACGCAAATTTAATTTAGTAGGATAACTGATTGAATTTATTAAAATTTCAAATTAGGTGGCAACACCATATATTTTTTTAGTTTCTCAGCCAGCAAAAATTTCATTATGCAAATTGAATTTAGTATACATTTTTGGTAGCCGTTTAGAAAATGTATTAAGGTGGCAACCCTTTTACAAGTTTTGCTTAAACTAAAGCCTTAAACACAAATTTTTACACCCAATAAATTGCCAATTTTAAGTAAGTAATTAGATACTTACAAACAATGATATTAGTAGGTGGCAACACAATCTTGTATGTTTTTATTAAAATATTAATTAAAATATGGTATTTTCATAAATTCCTATAAGGTTTCATACGGTAATCTTGTTACATCTTTAACCATCCATCTAAACATGTTTTCTGGAAAAACAACCGTGGAATTCGGCGCGTAACAAGCTGTGACCATGACTGAAACCCCGACTGCTTCCGCTAAAATACAAGTACATATGTATACATACCTATGTATGTGTCATTTAACTCAAAACATATTTTGTTTAAGGCAGTAACTTTTAACCTTTCCATTGATTACAATTTTTCAATATCTTCAAAATAAGTGTTTGCGGTCAGTGGGCTGTTATTGGTACAACTTTCTTTAAGACACTTCAATAGAAATATGTTAAAGTCTCAGAGGATAATGCGTAAGACCTTTACTTTACCAAAAGCCTTACTTCAAAAGAAAGATCTGTTTAGACTATCTAAATATGTAAATTATTTCCCATAACCATTTTTATTGAGAAGAGTTTAAAATGCCTTTCCATCATATGGGGATCGTCATCTTATGTGAGTGGTGTACCCACTATAACTCCCCCTTTCTACCATGTATTTTTCTTTGGACCCGGGATCACTTTCGCGTTACTTCAGGGCAAGATTTCCAAGATAGACATATTGCGGGTCAGTTTCTACTCTCCCCGCGTCCTGGGATATCTACGATTTCGTAGCCAGCCTCAAGCTGCTTGGCTTACCTTCTATTGACTCGATTTCTCCGAGGCCGGAGAGTATACGTCCACATTCCACATACGAGGCAATTTGCTGTCAGTTTTCGTCGCTGGTTAAAATTTTTCCTACTAGATTTTCCGTATTGGGGTCTCCACGCTTGTTTTCTAATGTCCTCCGTGCTTTTTTTCATCGTCAGCACTTAAAACAGATATGGTTTGCGTCGTCTCGCGGTTCGTCTCCGTAAATACATGCTTAACTTTCTGTATTTCTCATGTTGTACAACTATTTTCGGAAATACTCTTGACCAGAGAGCATCTGTGTTAAGCAGTAGTTCACCTTGCCGTGCTTCCTAATGTGCCAGATCTCTATATCTTTAATTAGTTTGGCGGTGTATCTTCCTTTGCGCTTCCTTGTCCACCGATCTTGCCAGTGTTCTAGTGTTTGCTTCCACGCCTGTTGTCTTGTCGACATGTGTATTTCTATTTCGTCCTTCTTCCATAGCCAGATTTGTCTTCTTACCTTTGCAAGTAGCTCTATTAGATCACCAGCAATGCGGATTCGGATACAGTGCGGACATTTTAATGCCATTCCGTACTTTCCGTAGCTTTTCAAAAATTTAATAGTTGACACCTACTGAATCGATGTCTTTTAGGCGATTATAAGTTATGCTTTATAGTCCAAACAATTAGATTCGATGTCACGTGGTCTTTTGAAATTGATTCTAAAGCGGCAATCGGACAAAAAATTTAGCACTAATATTGTCAGAGTCCTTAGATATACCTATACGAATGAATTGGAGCTCCCTGGCCAGGTATAAAGTCAAGCTTTTAACGTGGCTCGTCAGATATCTGATATGCCTACGGTACAGTGACAAGGAAACTTCGAGATGAAATATATGTTCAAGTATATGATATGAAGATGGACTACGTGTGATTTCGTTTATATGTTTATTATTAGTTTATTTCTGGAGGTACTACAGCTGGTAGGCCACACTAGAAATTTGAATCCCTGAGAATGCCCAATAACCTTAATCAAATATCTATGAATTAAAAATTAACCATTGCTAAGATTTCAAAATATCTCTTTACTCAGTATTCTGTTTCGTTCATGTCCAGTTCACTATTATTACAGGGTAACTACTTACATTCGATCCAACTAAAGCGATGAACACGTGTCTCCACAAACGCCTACGGCTTGTACCTACATACTTATTTGACTGCCGTGGCGCAGAAAATTTTTTTCAAATTGTTATTGTTGTTGTTGCTTTTGTCAAATTTCTATTCTGCATAATTAATGTTATTGTTGTACTTCTATAAAGTAGCGCATGTGATTTGCATTCCATAAGTGCATAAGTGCAAATACACAATCGTGAAACGGCAGCCATACGACGCGGCTACATTGCGCACGCGTGCGGTTTTACAAATACCAAAGCTAGCAAAATAGCAATCTTGTTGCAGTTGCACGAGCAATGCCAAACTGCAAGCAGCACACACGTCATTTATGGCATACGCAAGGCTGACGACGAGGGTGGCGAGATGCGCGGCATACAACGCGCGGCTGTGGCTGATAATCGACGCGCTTGTGCCAAAGAGCGTCATTGCTATTGATGTTTGTTGTACTGTGTTTTTGTCTTTTCATTTGTTGATGTTGTTGTAATTTTAGCGTGTGCTCAAGACAGCACCCGAGTAGCAAGCAACCCACTTTTCCGCGTGGCAGACAACAAGCAATAGTTTGTAGTTAGCGGCGCACCAAAAGTACGAATTAGGTATGAAAGAGTATTGCAGAAACTGCATGTCTTGGTACAATAACAGCATACAATGGAAGCGCTGTATGCCAAAGGCAGCGCGAAATGGCAATCAAGAATAATATAAAAGGCGAAACAAGCCTGACGCGCTAGGAAGCAAGCGCGCCTTGCGATGAGAACATATGTATATGTGCACATACAGACGCGGTGCATACAGCAAACAAAACAACTCAGCAGGCAAAAGTCAGACAAGCTGGCCAACAGCACGAACTTGCAATGATCCATAAAGCGTTAAAAAATGCGATGACTATTCCACAATTATCGGCGTGCCACATCGTGTCGCGGTGCTGCCATCGTCCGTCCAATCATAAGGCATGAGCACAGACAAAGACCTAGCGCGCAAACAGAAGGAATCTCGGCAATGCATAAACGGGTTGGCGGACGGAAGACGCGGCGCACGCGGCATATAATACCGGCAGCAGCAAGCAGCACAAGCCAAGAAAGCAAAAACAATAATAAACATACAAAATATAACTGAAACGACAGCAAATAAGCGCACAAAGCCTTTAACCAGCCACACCAGCGTTTATACAAGCCGCGCACACTGGTTAAAAGTAATAAAGCAACAGCATATCTTAAGTGAGGCTAAAACGCGGTCGCGCATACATACACGTTACATACGTGCATACTTACATACAAATGAAATGAAACACAAACAGCTCGTTATGGATGGCAGGCATGTGCGCCACTGCCACTGCCGCACCAACCGCTTAACAATCAACGGCGCAAGCAAGCAACCAGCACGCCAAGACAACGCCGCGCACCACTTAAGAGACCCCAATCAGGCAGTCATGCTGGCATCAGTCATTCAAGCAGCAGGCAAACAGCCACGGACAGACACACCCGTATAATGGAGTACGTATGGTATGCTTGAGTGTTTGCGCCAGTTGTGGTCGTCGCATATACCAAGGGGACGCCGTTGGCTGGCAAGGAACAGCTGGCGGGTCGGACGTGGTAGGCAAGCCGTTGTCGTGAGAAATCGACTACACTCGACTTTCCCACGGTATAACAATCACAACACAACTTGACGACAACAGCAACGTAGACGGAGATGACGCGCGCGCTGACTCGTTCCACATTAATGCCGCTGTCGGCTAAGCCACTATAGCAATAAAGGCAGCAACAACAACAACAGCAATACCACGAAGCAATATGCCTTGTCGTTGCATAAAAAGTGTGGACGGGCGCGCAGGCGGACGGCAGTTCGTTTGGTCGAAGCGTTGTATGCTTGTGTGTAGGGGAATTCATTGTGTGCAGGCAACGGAATGTCGACAAGCGGGGTGGAGGTTATAAGTATGTATTTGCTGCTTGTGTGCGACCGGATAAGTAAGCAGGCGCGCGAAGATTTAACGTATATGTGTGTGTATGCGCCTTGGAAGACGTTAAGCGACGTCAGTTGAGAAGTGATACTTCAACTGCTTACTTAGTGTAATACATAGTGGCACAATGGTAGACAGTAAGGAGAGCGGCATGCGGTGTTTGGTGGTGGTGTTAGCGAATGAGTGTACGGGTATTTTCTCATTCAGCCACTCAGTTCGACGACGTCACACATTGGTGGTGGTGTTTGTGTGCGCTGTACGTGCGGGCGCACTCTCTGCGATAAGCTCGATCGTTGCTGCGCGCCGTCGCTTGCTCTGCTGAGGCTATAAAAGTCAGAGCACGGCGTTGTGCCTTAGCATTCATTGCAATAACGTTGTGCCAAGCAGACACGCGTAACATTTGGAAAGCAAGTAAAATATAAAATTTGGATTACAAGCGCGTAGAAAATAAAATATAAAAGCAAAACAGAAAACTTGGATTAAACAATATACTAGTTTCTAAAAGTTGATCTCACAAGCAATGGTACTCGAGATGGAGATGTCCAAAACCTATCAATACCGCAAAGTGATGAAACCAATGTTGGAGCGCAAGCGACGCGCGCGCATCAACAAGTGTTTGGATGAGCTGAAGGACATAATGGTCGAATGCTTGACACAAGAGGGTGAACACATAACGCGCCTCGAGAAGGCCGATATACTGGAATTAACCGTGGAGCATATGAAGAAATTGCGCGCACAAAAGCAATTGCGTTTGGGCAGTGGTACTGGCGCAGGCGCTGTACAAGATGCCAAACTGACAATAGCGGAAAGCTTCCGCGCCGGTTATGTGCATGCCGCAAATGAGGTATCAAAAACATTAGCGGCGCTGCCTGGTGTCAATGTGGATTTGGGTACACAGCTAATGAGCCAATTGGGACATCGCTTGAACTACTTGCAAGTGGTTGTGCCTAGTGTGCCATTGACTGGTGTACCAGCAGCTCAACATTTCATACCCACACCAGTAGCGGAAGCGACAGCAATAGCCGCGCAATACTACAGCATGAGTGGCAGTGAGCGTAGCGCGACCAGCAGTCCTGTGGTCATCACACCACCACCATCCGAGTGTGGCAGCAGTGAAAGTGGTAGCTGCAGCCCGGCGCCTAGTGACACATATGGCACCGTTTGGCGGCCTTGGTGAATAACGGGCGCACAAGAAAGCAAACACAGTGATTCTACTCAAGCGATGTGGATCTCTTGTGGGTATTGAATTTAATGAACGCGTTTAGCTTTTTTGCTAGCAGCGCGACATGGCGATTGGGTGAACTCGCCACTACGCAGTCGACTCTGCATTGGACTGCAGCTGAATGGACTAGGCGCTGCGGGGCGTTCCTACACGCATAGGTGGATGTCTACAAGTCAAGTGGGAATACTTGACAGCAGATCGGCGTTCTCATTGTCATTACTAAGCGCAAGACAGCGTAAAATTTTAAACCTCGCTTTTTAATACAATAAAACAATTGTAATCACAGGGAAAAAAAGAATTTACTTAGTATTAAGAAATAAAAAAATAAAAATAAATATAAAAGTTACATAAAAATATATGTATGTTTCATTATTAAATCAGTTTATCTGCTAGACGCAAATTTCAGCTACAGCTTGCTGTGCGCTTCACAGACCTCCGCACGGTATCGCTTGTCGCTAAAGAAGGTCTTGATCTCGTTTATTAATGCTGCGCGCTGACGTATGAAAATACGTCAATGCGCGTCACTCGCCAACAAAACGGACATTTGACTCTTTAAAATTCATTAATTGTTTTGCTTTTGTTTTCATTTGTGGATCATCCGATTCCTATTTTACAAAAGCTGCTCAACAGCTTTGGTTGAGCTGAACTTAGGGAATTTCAAATTGCAAAAGCTAAAAAAATAACACCACTACAAAGCGCATTGTCTCTAGATTAACTTTCTGCTAAAAATCTAATCATATTGTGTGTATGCGCTTGAGTGTGCAACACTCTTGTCACATATATATTTCTAACCCGTGCCAATGGAATAACTGGTCAACTGACATAGTGTGTACTGGCGCGCACTAACACAGCACTTCTGATGCTGGCGCAGCGCGTCATGTGCGCGACGAAAATTCGCATGTAAACGCCTAGTAAAATAGTAAAACTGACTTTATATATATGTATGTATGTATATTTATATACGCGCGGTTTATGTAGCACATTTACACTTATACACGCACACACACATACACACAAACCGCAGAGCTTCTTATTTCGCGTTTTTCTTCCAGCGCAATCAACAAGTATAATAAAAACGTTAATAATAATAACCGCATAGCTATACAAAGCAAGGCAAGCCAACAATAAAGTATAAAAATAAAAACCAACAACAACACTCATACCTCGAATGTCAGTTAACGCGTCGCAAGCCGCATGCCGCAAGCGGAAGCGTGAGCCATTCATTGAAAAATTTTCCCACACTTTTGTGCGGTCGTGCTTAATGTGCGCTGTTGCCGTCGCGTCGCACTTAATGACTTTCCAAGAACGAATACAAAAAAAAAACCGATAAACGCCACGCAAACTTGGCTTATCGTTGCGCATTGCTATATACACACATGCATACATGCATATACATATATGCGCGTGTGCTTATGCATGTGAAGCTCCAATTGCGATAGAGCGGCTACTGGTACAACGCGTTTGCTTGTGCCTGTGCTGACCCACGTCGCGCGGCTCAATGGTGGTCCGGTCTCCACGCGCATATCATATTGTAAATATACATATGTATGGGCACATGGGTTTGCCGTGTACAGTTGTGGTTTTTAAAATATAAACATTAGGGACTTAAAATCACTAGTTTAAAAAAATTGCTTATCATATTTAAAGGATTTCCGTTGGAATTTTGTCGAAACAATGTATTTGTAAATTTGTTTTTTACCATTTCTTCCGCTACGTTTGTAAAATTCTGCGGAATTATAAAGGAACATTCAAATCCTTAAGCAAAACAGAGTTTTATACACCATTTCACTGTGAGCTTTTGCAAAGATTAAAAAAATCTAGCAGAAATTGTTGAGGCGATCCATATTCAAAAGTTATTGGAAACATATTCAACCATAAAAGTTTCGAAACAGTGCGAAAATCCATTGTAGATATTCTAAGAATGGCTTTCGGTTTATGCTTTATGAAGGAATAGCACTTTTTATACTTCAACGTTATTCAAACACTTTATGCCATATCTTAGACTAGCAGATGCTTGGACTAAAAGATAGATAGAACATTGTGTTGGAGATAATGTTTAAGAAAAAAATAATGTAGACTGAGTAGTTTTAGTCATCGCGGACACCTTTTTGGTGATCTGTGCGGGTATCTGAAACCAAGTTGGTCGATGATTTCTTTTTCGAAGATAGCAAAAGTTCTACATCCCAACCTCAAGGCATAACTCGTAAAATGCAAGTGTTTAACGTATAGTCGTTATGAAAATTTTGCACGTTAACTAAAGAGCATGTTCAAGGTCTGGGTGACATTGATAGCTGCAGTAGGTTGGTTCCAGGGAGAATTTCAGGCACTAATGCCCACCGCAATAGTGATTAGTCCACTGAGACAGATATTATATATTATATAATATTTGAATGAGGACGCTCAATGTTTGTATTCTATAACTACACTCTTTAAATTAAAAAATTTCTAAATAGTTTTAGTAAGTATATCTGAGCGATAGTCCGCAGGCGGCATGAATTCAAGTCTGTCGCGATTACTTTAACTCCATTTATGCGTAAATGAATCGGAGTGATCTAAAGTAGAGATATCATTGATATCCTCTCCTGAATTCCTCGTGTTCCCATGTTATTTTTTACGATAATTTCTCCTGTAATTTGTTTTGACAACCCTGTTGCAATTTTCCTCTTCGTTTCTTTTTTATTAGTATCCATTACAATGTACATAACTAATGTTCGTATATACACAGCTATATAAACTAAGTATCATGCAATTCAGTATAGACGGCTTAAGGCTGTCTCTAATTTAGAGTAGCGCTGCTTCCATTCATTAATTATATTGATTATATATATATGTGTTTAAATATACATACTTACATATAAACGCATGCGCCAATATGTGACGCACATTTCATGAGATACACAACCAACGATTCCCAAAGTTTTATAAAACCCCCCCAAAAATTTGCATGTCATCCAAATGAAAAGTGGGCAGATATTAAATTAAATGGCTTTATGAGTTATATAAGTTTACAAATATACATATATACATATGTATACACATACATCGTTAAAAGCCTGATTAGACACTTTTATGGGTTTAGCTACCAACTTTAAAAATTTAAAATGGAAAAATTGGTAACCAAATAATATTTTTACAATAGAGATATTGAACTGAAGAAATTTAAGTAAATTTATAGTTGGATATGTTTTAGACTAAGGTTGCCAACTGTTTAAAATTTAATTTATTTATTTGAATTCATAAAGTTAGGAAGATATTGCATTGTAGATGTTACATTATATCTACATTTATAACAAATTTATACCAATAATATATTTTTGAAGGGTTGCTACCTGTTTTAAATTTTGAAAATTGTTTCACAATATTTGTGACTAATTTATAGCGATATTTTAATATTCGTGGTTTCAATATTTAACCTTGAATTTGTTTTCTTTTAAATTGAAAAACAGCCGTAATGGTTAAAAGGGGGGGTATGGGTTTAGCTGCCAGCTTTTAAAATTTTTAGTAAAAAAAGGCGGTAACAAAATAATATTTTTTCAATAGAGATATTGAACTGAAGAAATGAAGGTAAATTTATAGTTGAATATTTTATGTTAAAAATTTAATTAACCTATTAAAATTTATAAAGTAAAAAAGATATAACAAAGTAGCTGTTATACCAAATCTACATGTATATGTGTTTTAACTTTTGATTATTCTTTTATCTATATTTATATCGGACTTATGCCGATATTATATGTTTTCGAAGCGTTGTCACCTGTTTTGAGTTTTGTTTTAAGCAAATTGATAAAGTAATTTGAATACGAAAATGTTAGTACCTAATTAAAATTATTTGAGCATTCTTTTATGTAATAATTTCTGTGCATTAATATCGATTCAAGAGCCAAGACTGGTGTAGTCTTTCCATTAGTCCTCCCTGTCTGGTTTGAAGAGACTTCGCGACATGTCAACATAAATAGACTTAACTATGTAGTTTGGCATTTCCGGATTTTCTTCATGATTCATACTCTCTTAACGACTGAGTTGCTTAGTTTGCGATAATTCACAAACTAATTAAATTTCGAATGAATGAATGTGGCTGAAGCCACAAATATATGATTTGAATACTAGTTTTTCTGCTTAATGTTGTGAACGCGTCAAAGAGTCGTTTAGGCGGCTACAGCGCCAGTAAAGACGAAGAGCAAAGCACGCAAAAACAACTCTCATACATTTTTTCGCCTGAAATTAACTGGGTTATCTGTTGTCAAATGTCAATGGCCAAATATCAATCAAATGACGTAGCCTATGAGCGATAGTGGTCAATTAAAATATTTCACTGACTTATCAAACTGCTCTCTTCACCCTCTCGTCTCATCAGACTAATGCGTGCACATGTCTAATACTACGCGCTAACGAATTCGCGCGTCATAACGACGCTTTGACCGTTAATCACGAGTCATCGTGTCGTATTCACGCGTCTCTCTAAGTTTCATCACCCTTTTAAGCGGCTTTTCCCGTCAATACGCTATTTCAAAATTCCGCAACATCTTCTCGAAATGCGTTTTAACCGTTGTTGTTGACATTACCGTTGACTTAGTAATGTATTTCTTGCCTCATTGATGTTGGCTACAAACCTGTAAAACCACTTCACATTTTGCCGCTTCATCGTTTACCGATTTCTGACACTTTTAGTTTGATTGATTGCGCTTAAGTACGCCAAGTTTATGGCAAATTCATTTCGCCAATTTACTGTTACACCGTTGTATCAATATTCGTGTGGTAATGGTGTTATTGCCGATAATTGTATTACACCGGCCGACGCTCCTACGTTAGCTTGAGCCACAATTGGTATTTTGGCTAGACGATGGCTCTGACAAACACGTGCCATCGTCCAAAATGTCGCAATACTTGCGGCTGATGTATTTAGCGTGCGGCAATGGGATGCCGTAACAGCGCTGGTTATGTTGTTTGCGTTGACGGTAAATGTCGATTGTAAACTTTGCGTATTTTTTTAAAAGAGGCTGCGTGCGAGTGGTGTGTATATGTTTAAATATCATTAGTATTGAAGTCACTCGTCATAGTATTTAGTAGGTCGTCAGTTCAATCAGGTCATCCTCGGGATGCTAGAGTTTAGGGACTAAGTAAAACCAACAAATATTTCTTTTTTAATCTCACCGTCTTCTGTCAGACCTACACTTCCTTCTTTCGTGAATTCCGAACCTTTACATATTATATAAGAGATCAACGTTATTTTGAAAGAGGACCCCATATTACCAACAGCTTGTGACAAATAAGTAAAGGATTTCAGGAGAAATTTAGAAGGCTACTTTAAGAATTCTTCATTCTTTCCGGCTAAAATTCTTTGATAATCTTATAAAGA